CACCCCCTTCCTAGCCCAACCCCCAGCGGCCTCGAACTGGCAGCCACTCAGCACCATCTGTGGTGGCCCTTCAAGTCTGCTAGAGCTCTACCCACCCCCCTCCCTTGAGCAGCAGATACCACATAAGTCACTTTGCACTCCTAGGCTATGATGTCTCCTAGGCTGTGATGTCTCCTACCTGTCCTCGCTTTGGCTTTGCTGTCCCATCTCCTCATCTCTTTCCCGCCTGGGCGGGGCAGTGGGCGGGCGCGCGGTGCGGCGTGGCGTGTGAGTGTGTGCGACTGCAACGAAGGACCGCTAGCAAGGGACCATTGGGTTTGTACTATTAACAACGAAGGCGCTCTCAAAAGGAAAACAGAGGGTCCCCAGCACTTTGCGTTTCCGGAAATTTCCAGGGAAAACAGAGGGTGTTTGGTGCTCCATTCTGGAAACTCGCGAGTTCCCTGAGTGAGTCTGAGAGCTGGTCTGGGGCAAAATCTGACGCAAAATTGAGGAAATCGGCACGATACCCAGGCGGTCGCAGGATATTTTCCAGGTATACCCGGGGTTTTCCACAGGTATACCCGCAAAATACCCGTTTTTTGCCGAAAGCTATCTCAAAAGAAAACCGAGTGACACGCCGAGTTCGGCAGCGGGCAGGGCCGAGCACAAAAACACAACGCGCGACCCAAGACGCACAAGCTCAGACACCCCAATTCTGTGGTTCAATCGGTGTGTCGATCGGTGCTGCTCAATTGGTGCTGCTCTCATTTGATGCGCTGGTGGCATCGCCTTAGCCCCGCTGGCATCCTCGCCGCGTTGCTCGAGCGGTGTCTCGGCGCCGTGGCACGCCTCGAGCTGGAGGACCGCTCGGACGGCTGCTGGACGCTCATAAAATTTTGCGACCTCTCGCCGGCGGTCGACGCCACGCATCATCCGAATCTCCCGCTCGAGCTCGCCGCTGCGCACATCTCCACCCTCGTCATCGCCGTGCCTCCGTGGCGCCAGCTACGCCGCGCCGGCATCGATGTCCGTGTCGACGGCGTCAGCCTGCTCGCAGGGCTGCAGCGGCCACGAGAGTGGAGCGACGAGGCGCAGCGCCGCCACAAGGCTGCGCGCGACGCCGCCCACGCCGCCGCCGTGGCCGCCGCCGAGCACCTGCTGAGCGGCTCGCTGCCTCGGCCAACCTCGGCTAGCCTGCTGAGTGAGATGGTCGGAGACGGAGTGAGGGGCCGGCTGCTGCGCGCCGCCCTCTCCTCCGCCTCGGTGCGCGCGACGCGGCTCGCCTTTTGCCTCGAGGACTCCTCCCTCTCCGGCCCGCCCTTTGCCCTCTCGCTGCATGCAGACTGCATCCTCGTCGAGCCTGCACCGTCACCGGGCGATCCAAGCGGTTGCTCTCCCAGCGACGCCTCTCCCAGCGACGCCTCTCCCAGCGACGCCTCTCCCAGCGACGCCTCTCCCAGCGACGCCTCTCCCAGCTTTCCGAGCGACGCCTCCGCGGTCGACGCCTCGCGACCAAGCTCGGACCCAGCCCTGCCGGCCACATCTCGCCCTGCTGGCTGCGGACACGTCCCCGGGACACGTCCAGGACGGTTCCGAGACACCGTCTCTCGTAGGCCCTCGTCCTGCGGCTCTCCGCGAGCGGCGTCGTCCTCCGCGCGTGCGAGACCTCCTCCGCCGTGCCGCGCGAGTTCATCGCGGCGGCGCCGCTGCCCGAGCTCCTCGCCGGCTTGCTGCTGCCGCAGCTCGTTGCCCAGCCAGCCGTGGTGTCCCTTCCAACCGCCTCCGTCAGCATCGCCGTCCGCCGGCCGGCGGCGGGCGGCGCGAGCCGCGGCGGCGAGCGGAGCAGCGACGGCCCGCGGAGCAGCAGCGGCGGGCGGGGCAGCGGTTCTGCGCCGAGCGGCTCGGCGGTGGAGGAGGAGAAGGCGGCGGCGGCGGAGGAGGAGGAGGAGGAGGAGGACCTGGCGGTGGCGGAGGTGCGGGCGCCTGCCCAGGACGTTTCGCTGCACGAGGGACAGCTGCGCGTGCTGGCGCCCCCCCCCCTTTCCGATCCCACCTCCGGACCCTGCCCCGCCCCCTCTCGGCACCTCCTCGGAGCCCTCCCTCGCATAGGCGCGCTTGCTCGACTTCGGGTCCCACTTTCTGCGCTTCAACAAACACGTGCCCACCCGCCCCGCCCTCTCCGTGCGGCGGGCGCCCGCGGAGTGGTGGCGGTGGGCACTCCACAGCGTCAGCTGCGAGTCGACGTGGCGGAGGCGGCGCACCCTCAGCCTCCGCGCTGAGAGCCTGCTCCAGCGGCGGCGGCAGCGGCTGCGCTTCGAGCTGCTGCACCGCGCCGCGCACGGGCGCTGGGCAGAGCGGCGCGCAGCTTGGCGGCTGATCGAGCGCGGCGGCGACTGCGCCGGGCTCGCCATGTCGCGGGGGGGCGGGGGGGGTCCGTGACTAGCCCATGACGGCTCCGAGGCAGCTCCCGTGCGTAGGCTCGCTGACGCGGCGGAGAGGCGGAGCGAGCTCGCGGCCCTCGAGGAGGGCGTCAGCCTGCGGGGCTCTCCGTCCCGGGGCGCGTGTGCACGACAACATGTGTCCACGAGCCATGGCCGAGACAATAGGCGAGCCTCAACCCGTGGGACGTGCTCTACTTTCGCGCCCGCTCGCGGGGCGAGTGGGAGGCGGCGCGGGCGACGCTGCGGCTCGCCCTCCGGCACTCCTCCCGGCCAGAGGACACGGGGCCGTGCAGGCTCGTGACGCGCCGCCGCCGCAGAGCCGCCGCAGTCGGAGAGCGCGAGAGCGAGCGAGGCGGAGGAGGGCGAGGCTGCACACGGGCTCCCATTCTTGCCGCCGATAGGCTCGACCAGCTCGGTGTGCTGCTTGGGACGCCGCGGCTGCGCTGCCGCCTGCTCTGCGAGATCGACAGCGTCACGGCGCACGCCGCCCCGGCCAAGCGCCACGCGACTCTGCGCCCGGGCCGGAGGAGGGAGCTTCGCACACGGGTAGGTGTCGCTGCTCGACGAGACCGCCGCGTGCGCGGAGGCGCGTCGGCTCCTCTCCTCTGGCGCCGCTTGCCTTGCGCCGGGAACGGGCGGGGCGGCGGGCGAGGCGGCAAACGCGGCGGAGCCGCTTGCCACGCTCGAGATGCGGCGGGTGGGCGCGGCGGTCGCGTTTGGCCGGCGGCGGGAGAAGGAGGCCGCCAGAACACGCCCGCGACATGCCCGTGACAATGCGAGGCGCACGTCATAGGTGGCGGGAGAAGCAGCTGGCGGTCGACGTGGGCTCCGTCTGCGCGACCGACCGCTTCAGCGGCAGCCTCCCCTTCCACCGCGTCGTCGAGTCTCCCGCGCCGGGACTCTTTTCGGGCGAGTCCGACGGCGCGCGCGGCTTCGCGCGGCTTCGCGCCTGCTCGTCGCCGCTCCTGCCGCGCCCGCGACAGCGCATCCGCCTCGAGCTCGGCCAGCCCGTTGCCCCTGCTCCCCCCGCGGCGTGGAGTGAGCAGCGTCTCTTCACGCCTCGTGGCGTGGACAGGCCCGACCCGCGCCCTGCTCACGCGCCGCTTCGCCGCGCGGCTCGCGGCGTGGGCGGTGCGCGGCTGGGGCAGCGCGCAGGTCCGTTGCGTGTTGCGCCGTCTCCGGTCTGAGCGTGACACGATGAGCGTGACACGATGAGCGTGACACGATGAGCGTGACACGATGAGCGTGACACGATGAGCGGCGAGCGCAGGTGTTTGCGTACTACGTCTTCCGCTTCATCTACCGCTTCGACCACGAGTGGTCGCTCGCGCTGCACTCGCTCGAGGCGGTCTTCCTCTCGGGCAACGAGACGCAGAGCCGCTCCGTTTGCGCGCGGCGCATCCCTGACACGTCCCATGGCACGCCTTGCAGGCCACGACGCGAAGCCGCTGCTCCGCCTGCGTTGCGGCGGCAACCGTCGCGAGGCCGCTGTCGACGCGGCGGCGGCCGAGGCGCTGGCGGGGGCCGGCGTCGCGTGCCGCCGCACCTATGGCTCGGACCAGCTCGTGCGGACATCCATCGCCGCCCGCGCCGAGGCGCTCGAGCTGCCGGGGCTAGCTGGGGAGGTCCGGCCTTGGTTGTGGGAGTGAGGCTGCGCTCTGCTGCCGAACAGGTGTGCCACGCCAACCCGCACAATGGCGCGTGGGAGCCGGTCCTCGAGTGGTGCGCGGCCTCGCTCGAGCGGCGGCTCAACCGCGTCGTGGAGCAGTGCGAGATTCGCCGAGATTCGCCGAGATCGCGATGAGACCGTGATTACCCGAGATGACCCGAGAGCATGATGCTCGAGCCGCTCGGCGCGCGGGCCCGAGCCGTGACACGACTGCGGCGTGAGCGTGAGGCGGGTGCGGCGTAGGTATGAGGTCGAGCTCGCGGCCGCATCGCCGCTCAACGTCAACGTGAGCGGGGGCCCGCCTCGAGCGCTGACCAGGGGGCAGGGAGGCCCCATCCTCTGACCATGACTAGGTGACGGAGCCCCTCCTCGAGGGTCTGCTGCGCGAGAGGCAGCTGTTGCGCGACGGAGACGGCTACGCGCCGCTCGTCGCCGTCACGGGCGCCGGAGGCTCGGCGGCGGACGGGGGAGGCCGCTTCGTCCTGAGGAACGAGACGGGCATGCCCCTGGAGTTCTGGCGCGCCGACGGGCAGGGGAGCGCGCGGTGCGACGACGGCTCTTGCTGCGCGCGCCCGTCCGCTCGGCCCCGTGTCGTCGCCTCCGCCTCGGCGGCCTGCTTCGACTTTTGGGCGGACGTGGGCGGCGGCTCGCCGACGCCGGACGGCGCCGCCGCGTGGGGGGGCGGCGAGGGCGGCGTCGTGCCCGCCTCGGACCTGCTCCGCGACTGCTCCGTCGCGGTGTCGTGCGGCGGCCTCGAGCCTGTCTGCACGCGCGTGGACCTCGCCGGCGAGACTTGCCACACGGTGCGCAGCACGTCGGGCGCGCCGCTGCGCGTGGTCGTGGAGGTGGGCCACGAGGGGACGGCCACGATCGTGACCGTGGGCTCGCCAATCTCGCTGAGGAACCAGAGCGGCGCGCGCCCGCCCCTCGCCACCGCAGCCGGCTGGCGCAGGGTCGTCCACTCCCCCTTTCTCGACCGCCCCTCTGCGTCCCCGTGCGACTCAGGCGTACCGCTCGAGCTCCTCTTCTACTCCCCGCGGCTGGCGGCCGAGCAGGAGGCGCTTGCTCTCCCCGGCGAGACGGTGCGGGTGCCGTTGGCCCTCGCAGCCGACGTGATGGTTCGTGTGCGGCCGGGCGACACAGTGCCTGCCTCGCCCGCACTCGAGGACGCGTCCCCGACACCTCCCGGACGTGGGGTGGCGCTCGCCTCGCCCCGACCCTCGGGGCCTCCCCTTCAGAGGTCAGGGGCGGGGAGCGAGTACCGCTGGTCGCCCGCGCTCGCCGTGGGACAGATGGGAGAGGCTGCTCAGCTCCTCTGCTGTCCGGCGAAGCGCCCTCCTCCTCCTCCTCCTCCTCCACCACCACCACCACCACCACCTCCGCCGCTGCCGCCGCCACCGCCGCCGCCGCCGCCGCCGCCGCCGCCTCCTCCTCCTCCTCCATTGCCACCTCCTCCGCCACCTCCACCTGCTCCTCCTCCGCCACCGCCGCCGCCGCCGCCGCCGCCACCGTTGCAGCAGCAGCCAATCTCACCCCCGCGGACGCCTCGGCGGCCGCCGCCCGTCCAGCCGCCGCCGCCGCTCGGCGGAGAAGGGCTGGAGCCTCGCCGCCACGACAGCTTCCCCTCTCCCGCCCCGGCCGAGGCGAGCGGCGCAGCGGAGGCCACGCAGCGAGCTGCGTCGAGCCGCTCGCTCAAGGAGAAGGAGGAGAAGGAGGAGAGGGAGGAGAGGGAGGAGAGGCGGGAGAAGGAGGAGAGGCGGGAGAAGGAGAAGGAGGAGAGGCGGGAGAAGGAGGAGGAGGAGACGCAGTGGGCCGAGGGCCCGATCCGAGACCTCGAGGAGCCCGTCCCGTGGGAGGCGAGCTGGCTCGAGGAGCGGCAGGGTGGCGCAAGCGAGGTGACGCTCGCCCTCGGCCGCAGCTTCCACCTCCACGCCTCCCTGCGCGGCAGCAGCGCCGCCCGGAGGGGCGCCTCGGGCAGCGACGCCGTCCGCGGCTCGCGCGGGCAGGCGGCGCTGCGGCTCTGGCGCGCGGTCTTGGGTGCAGAGCCTCGAGGGGGTTGAGGCTGCCTGCTGCCACTAGGCGGCGATGCTCCTCTGGCCGTCCACGCTCGAGCTCGAGCCGCCGCTCGTGGTGGAGAACGCGACCCTCGCGAGCGCTCGCGTCGAGATCGGCTCACTCGAGCCGGGGTCGCCGCGGCGGCGGGCTCGCGCCTTTGGCGCAAGCAGCGCCTCTTCACGCCGCCCCGCTGTGAACAGGTCCCCCCGCAGCAGCTCGACGCCACGGTGGCGCCGCTCCTCGGGAGCCGCCGGCTGGCGTGGCGCTTCACGGCGCCGGCTGTGAATAGGTGGCGCGGCGTGCTCGAGAGCCGCGGTCGGCTGGCGTGGCACGGCTCCGGCGTCGACGCAGCGCTGCGGCTGCGGCTGCAGCTTCCGCGCACCGGCTGGAGCGCCGCGACGCCGCTGCTCCGCCCTCCCGAGCGGCTGCTGCTGCCCCGCGCGAACCGGGTGCCCTTCTCCCTCTCGCTCGACTCCAAGCCGCTCGCGGCTTCGGCCGCGCTCACGGTCGTGCTGTACTCGCCCTATTGGGTCGTCAACCTCAGCGGCGCGCCGCCGCGTCCCGCTGACCTCACCCCGCCCCCCTGACCTCACCCTCAACCCCCTTAGCTCACCTCGACCCCCCTCACCTCGACCCCCCTCACCTCGACCCGCTCCTCCCTCCTCCCGCTCGGCCTCGGGAGCGCCACGTCCCTCCCTCTCCCTACCCTCCTCTTCACCCCCGCGGGCGTTACTCCCGCGGGTGCCACATGCACGCCCCCTCCCTTGGCACAGGCCTCCCGCTGCAGTACACACCGCGGCGCGAGAAGAAGAGGCGTTCCGTTTTGACGGCGGGACGCCCCTCGAGCCCCCCCTCGAGCGAGGAGGTGGGTGCCCCCCCCCCCCCCCCCTCTCCCATTCTACCCTTGTTCTGGAGCCGCCTTGGTCCTTGCTTGCCCGTGAGCAGCGGGGGTGGGTGCCGGTAGGTCGTCGGAGGGGAGGAGGGGGAAGATCAGGAGAAGGAGGCGGAGGAGGACGTCGACGAGGCGTTCCAGACGGTTCAGGCGGAGAGAGCCGGCGAGGGCGAGGAGGGCGAGGGGGGCGAGGCGACCCTCTCTCCCCTCGTCCGCGACGACGCCGCGCCCGCCGCCGTGATCCCTCCACTGCTGCCGCCGCCGCCGCCGCCCGCCGGGCGCCGCCCTCCCGCCCCCCGCCTTCCCGCCCCCCGCTCCTCCTCCACGCCGGCGGCTCGTGCGGGGGTTGGGCTGCTGGCCGACGCGGACGAGGCGGTCGCCGCCTTGCGGGCGCAGCTCGAGGCCCTTGCGCCCGGTGCCGACGAGGGAGCCTTGCGGGCGCAGCTGGCCGCCCTCGAGTCGGCCATGACTAGCGCACGGGCAGCAACTTCCAGCGCGCCGCTGCCCCCGCCGCCACCCCCACCGCCAGCCCCGCCGCCGCCGCCGCCGCTGCCTCCGCCGTTTCCTCCGCCGCCCCCTCCTCCGCCGCCGCCGAGGCCCTTGCGCGCCCGCGAGCGGCGCCGGCAGGCGGAGCTCGTGGCAGCGCGCGAGCGGGCGGCCGCGCAGCAGTTCGGCGGCGCCTTCCTGCACGACGCGAGGCAGCTGCCGCACGAGCCTCCGAGAGGGGGAGGCTCGAGGGGCTTCGGCCGGCTCCGCAGCGCCATCACCGCCGCGCGGGCTGGCGGCCGGCTCCGCCGCGACATCACCGCGGAGGCGTTGGCGGCGGAGGTGGACGAGATCGCGGCGACCGTCCTCGAGCTGGCGGAGGCTTCGTCGAGCGAAGGGGAGGAGGAGGAGGAGGAGGGAGAGGAGGAGGAGGAGGAGGGAGAGGAGGAGGAGGAGGAGGAGGAGGGAGAGGAGGACGAGGACGAGGACGATTTGGGCGCAGCCGCGTGGCAGGAGTACATTCTCACCCGCGAGCACGCCGAGTTTGAGGGCGTGGGGTGCGCGCCGCTGCCCGGATCGGCGCTTTCGTGCCTGGCCCACGAGGAGCGATGACGCGTCCACGAACGCGACCGCGATAGGCTCAGGCGCTCGGTGAGCTGGGCGGTCGCAGAGAGGGAGGAGGAGGCGGAGGCGGAGGAGGACCCGGCGGCGGCGCTAGCGGCGGGGCAGGAGGCGGCGGAGGCTGCGGAAGCTGAGGCGAAGGCGGCGATGAAGGCGGCGATGAAGGCTCCGGTCTCAGGGTGTGGAGATGCGAGGGGGGGGCTGGCCCTAGTCCAACCTCAGCGTGTGGACAAGTAGGTTGCCGTCAAGCGGGCGAGAGACACGGCGAACAAGGCGGTCGGTGCAGGCAAACTGCGCCCCTCCCCCCAGCACCGCGTGAACAGCTGATAGGAAAACAGTGAATACAGCTGAATGCGGGTGAAGACAGCGGAGTACGTGTCTCTCGAGTGCTGGTTGGGAGACATGAATAAGTGTTTCAGCGTCTAGCGTGGTGACCCAGAGCTCGGCGGCCTTCGGAGGATCCTCGACGGCGGTCGTGATCACCTTGCCGAAGCTCGTCGCGTCAAGAGACGGGGAGATGTGTGGGAGATGTGTGGGAGATGTGTGGGAGATGTGTGGGAGATATTGAGAGGTATGGGGAGGTATGGGGAGGTATGGGGAGGTATGGGGAGGTATGGAGAGGTATGGGGAGGTATGGAGAGGTATGGGGAGGTATGGAGAGGTATGGGGAGGTATGGGGAGGTATGGGGAGGTATGGGGAGGTATGGGGAGGTATGGGGAGGTATGGGGAGGTATGGAGAGGTATGGGGAGGTATGGAGAGGTATGGGGAGGTATGGGGAGTATGGGGAGGTATGGGGAGAGATTACCTTGCCGAAGGTCATCGAGAATGCCCCCGCCACGCCCGCGCCCGCCGCCGTCAGCAGCGAGAGCCGGAGTGAGTTTGGCGCCGGCCTCCACCGCTTCAGGGGCGAGCGGGGCACGAGGATGGCCACGCACAGCACGACGTACACGCCGGCGGGAATGGCGAGCGCGAGGAAGGGGGCGCCCGAGAACTGCTCCTGCACCTCTGGCAGCGGCAGCGTGTTCTCGGGCGACGGCCCTACGGGGAGAGTACGCCAACGTCTTCGGAGCACCGCGCGAGGACGAGG